CTTCTTTGTTCTTGTTTCTCTGGATTCTTGAATCTTTTGGAAGTCTTTGGAGGATGTTTTTTCTTGTCAGTTTTCTTTCTAAAAAGGTGTTCTTGCTGTAGACCTTTTAAGTAGGTTTCTTGTATTTAGTTGCCAAAATAAACAAGAAAAGTGTTTTGAAAAAAAAAATAAAACAAGTAGTATCTTTTGCTTACTCTGCAGGTTAGAGAACTAGTGTTGTTAAAATATATATATTTTTTTTATTATAAAGACAAAAAGTCTTTTGAAAACATTTGTTTTTTGGATTGAATAAACTGATTTTAGTATTTTGATCAGAAAAAAATATTGAAAAATTTGAAATAACATAGCAAGTGTTATTATGATATAATTGAATTTGAGAATTGATTTAAAACAAATAATAAATCTACTGATTCTATTTGAGTATGTATTTTGAAAAGTATTTGATTTAGCAAGTATAATAATAATAATATAGATAATTTTTATAATAAAATAAAAATAAAAAGAGACAAAAAAACAAAAGAATAAAGAATTATTATGGATTTTTTTTTATGCAATTAAAGGATAAGTAAAACTTTTAAACTTGAATCAATTTTATTAGAGGGTTCATTTTACTGCACTAGTTATCTTGAAGGTTTTTAAGTTTTTGAATTGAAGCTTACTTGTAATAAAGAATATAAAATATTTTTTCTTAAAATTATTATAAAAAAAAAATTTTTAACAAAACAAATATGATTAGAAAAAAGTTTTTTAGTAAAAAATATAAATTTTTATTTATTTTTTATTATTAAAATAACATATGTTTTGTAATTTTTATTAAAAAGTAAATTTGATTATATATTTAATATTGAGATATAAGATATATAAATACACTTTATATATATATTAATTTATTATATATTATAGTAAATATATTTTCAAGGAATCTTAAAACAAATAAAAAAAAAAAAAAAATTATTTAATAAAATTTAAATTGACTTTATTTAAATCAAAAGTTGAGTATTATTTTATTAAAAAAATTTTTTTTTTCAAAATATAGATTCAATATGTTTATTTAAGTTACTATTTTTTTTTAATAACTATATTAGAATATTAAACTAAATATCCAAATAATACTGTTAGTAATCCTAAATTGTGTATAATTTTGTCAATAATAAAGAAATATTAATTTAAGTTATTAGATTAAAAGATACAACTTTTTAATATTTTGTTTTTATTCACAATTAAAATGTTTTACTTTTTATTTATATTGATGAAACTTCAACAGTTTTTTTTAATAATAGTATTTTTACTTATAAAATATAACTTCATTATTAAAAATAATATATATAAAATTTTTTTATAATTAATAAGGTAATATTATAATAATATAAAAGATTGATAAGTTAAAATCAAAACCTGTATAAATTATTAGTTATATACTCTTCCAATTCAGCTATATTATATTGTTTTGTTATTATATTATGTTATATTATTGTTTTGATATTGTAATATAAAATATTATTATTATATTATTTGTATTTTTTGATAATATAAGTTGTAATTAGTGTTTTATATATTATTAATTTTTTAATAAAGATAAACCAATCTTGGTTTTTATATAAAAAATAAAAATAAATATGATATATATAAAGTTTTATAGAAATTACAAAAACTAAACAAAAAATAAAAACTTCAAAAAACAAACTATTGTCTTATTTGAATAAAACATTGAACAGTAATATATAAAGATATGTAAAAAGATTTTTTTGTTTAAAAATTACTTATATAGGTTTTATTTAGTAAAACAAAGAATTATTTAGATGGGTTTTTGCTTTTTACAAAATATTTATCTTTTAAAAAAAGGTAATTGAATCCTTTGTATTTTATAATAAGCCAAGATAGTTTTTTTTTTAAGAAAAAAGACTTTTGCTAACTGTTTATTATTTAAATTGTTATCTAAAAAAATTTTTTTTTATAAATTAAAGTATTATAGAAAATAGTTTTTTTTTTATTATATATTATTCTAATTTGAAATATTTTTAAATAATTTTATTTTTATATATTTTTTAATTACAATTAGATTTTTTATAAATAAAATATTTTTTTGTTTAAATAATACAAGTTTTTTTATAAGCAATAATAAATATATAAGTTTTTAAGAATAAATTATTTTTATAATCTAAAATTGTTAAATATTTTGAAATTGTTATAAAATATTTTAATATTTATATTTAACAATTTAATTATCAAAGTTTTTGTATAAAATCTTGAATATATTAAAAATATTAATTACTTGTTTTTGATATATATGTAATGATTTTTTTTATTAATTTTTATCCAATTTCTTGAATTATTTATTTTTTTTAATTTTATTTTTTAAGATTATAACAAATAGTCAACATATTTGCATTAATTTTAAAATATATTTTATTGCAAAAGTAATTTTAATCTTTCACAAATATAATATGGTTCGATATTGCATTTGTTTTTTAAAAAAAAAAAATTACAAAAATAAGTTTATAAAAAAAATAAATTAAATTAAAGATTTTAAGAAATATATTATAAGTTTTTTTAGGATAAAATAAATTATTAGAAAGGCATTGGTTCTTCAAGATTAGATAGTTTTTTTTATTTAAAAATTTTTATCTGAATATATTTAATATGGTAATAGATTGATATGTATAGTAATATATTTTAATATTTAATATCCATTATGTGATAAATCTTTTTTACTGCATTAATAAAAATCATAAAAATGATTCACTTAATATTTAAAAAAATATATTTGTAATAATAATTTAATATTTAAAAGTGAATTATTTTTAATGTTAATTTTCTTATAATAATAATTAAAAAAATTTTTATTTTGTATAAAATCAATACTATTGTAATGATGAGTCTGTCACTTGCATGCAGGTCTTGTCGCAGCACGTCACACAACAGCTGAGTAGGCCCACCTTGCACTATTTAGCTATATGGTTCATGTTGTCACCAATACTTCTTTTTTCTTGTCTTGTAGACGAAAGAGGTGATTGGATTTGGTCGATCTTCGTCCTTTGATCATGTGATCACGGGCGAAACAAAAATGGAACACCGGGTTTTATCATACAGATAAAGGTTTCAATCATTAAATGAGCACACTTGTTGCCTTTATTATTAAGAAATTTGGCTATATTTATACATGTTTCCATTATCCCGATTATCCCAATTATCCTTTTTATCCCGATTACTGTATCCTCTTTATCCCAATTACTGTATCCTCTTTATCCCAATTATCCTCATCATTATTTCCAATATAGGATCGCGTGGGAAATCACCCTTTTTCCCTATAACACTATAAGAAAAAAAATTAGAATAAAACATTGCGTATTTCAGTACCAAAACTAGAGATGCGTTATTTAGAAACCCGATTGATTCTTATAAAAAAAAAAGTCGATTTTGTTTTCAATGACCCTCCTGATAACCTATTTTATTTTCTGCGCTTACTCATACGCGTCCCGTTATTTTGACCGTTATGCATGATCATGTGCTATTTTATCGCGACCCATAACGATTTTCTTTCTTTTTTTTATTAACAAAATAATGTAACTAATTCTGCCATTTCCGTTTGCTTAGTTATCTTGCAAATATGTCAAAGCTACAATATTCGTTTATTTATTTATTTATGCTAGTATGATATGAAATCAAATTGATAGATGTAAAGTTTGTCTCGATGTTTGAGTGCGTCAAAAGATCGGACATGAAAATCATATGATGAGAAATAAGAGAAGACCGATAAAACAGAAGAACCGTAGAGTGTTGCTAAAAACTTGGTTCCAATCAGACCATAATGAGTTATTTAGTGTGTCTCGGTGATCTCCTCAAGCCTGTCGTGTTTTTTTCAGCACTTTTGGTCAATCTTGTCTTTTTCGAGGTTGCTACGGATTTTTTTACAGCAGGCTTAGTAGTTTTTGCAGGCGGAACATTTTTCTTAGCTCTAGTATTCTATAGAAAGGTTATCATCAATCGTTCGTGTTATGTCTTATCAGTGATTCGAATATCATCAATATTTAATAAACAATATACCTTTTCAGCATTAGGTTTGACTTCTTTCTTTTCATCCTTTACGGCAGATTTGGCATCTTTCTTTTCGGCCTTCGTTTTAACTTTTTTGTCGGTAACTTTTTTGTCGACAACTTTTTTGTCGGCATCTTTTTCCTTTTTAGCCGGTTCTTTCTTGGTTAGTTTGACGGAGGCTTTAGAATCTTTTTTTTTTTTAAAAAAAAAATAAATAATCATGTACATATACAATTACTTATCGCAAGATATAACAAGAACAGTCAAAAACATAATCACAAATACCATTTGGATACGTGAAAACACCATTTTCTACACCTTTGGAGATCGCGTTACGAAGACCGAAGTTTGTGCGTCCGTTATCAGGAAGATTATAGTTATTAACAATATACTTTTTAATTGCCTGACGACTATAGACAAGTAAAAACACGTCAGTATTTATTATATGAACGACACTTGTATTTGGAATTTACCTGCTTCCTTTTCTTTCTTTCAAGTTCATTATCGCTTCTAAATAAATTAAAGTAAACAGACGAAATAAATATGTGATGGAGCCACTTGGATTTCAGCTAAAACGAGTTTTACCTGTGATCATATCCTCATATCTGGGATGAGAAGGTGTCTTGGCTTGAGTTTTCGACATGATTAACTATCAAAGGTTAGAAAGCTAGAAAATTATTATTCGAGAAAGAATTTGACGAAAAACTGGCGACCAATTTGAATTTATATATACGTATTGATATTATCAATACGTAATGATCTTTGAGTGTGATTTGCCAATGAATACTGTATAATGAATATGTAATTATTGATATATAAAGTATACGCGCCACATCATAATCACACGCTGAAACGCAGTAGAATATTTTCCATAACGGGAAGTTAGCCTTGAAATTTACTGCGATGAGTGTAAAAATCTGCGGTGCTCAAAGTAAGTTATGTAATTATAGCATCAAATATTATACAATATTTTTTATGTTAATATAATTAATATAACAGAAATTGTTTACTTTTCTTGATAGCTTAGAAAATTATACTAGCTATCAGAGTTTGTTGTTAACACGTGGTGGAACTCACATTATTCCTTATATATTGAACACCTTTTTTTACCCGATCCTATTATAAATATACAAATTAGTTTAATTCATCTCCGCCGTACGTGTCGCGTTACCACAAGAGTTTCGCAATAGCAATTGTAATAACAATAGTAGCCGTGTGACGAATCACAATAACTTATTAATAATTTCTAACAAAAAATAAAATAATTTTACTATTAAAAAAAAAAGATATCATCATCATTATTATTTCAACCTTTAAAATAAGGATGTTTTAAAAAGAAAACAAACAATAACAATAGTAATTAAAAATAATTTTTTGCTTTTTAAAAAATTTTTTTACGTTAGGTTTCAACCATTGATTATTAATAAATAAATTAAATATTAATTTTTTTTCAATATTGTAATAAGTGAATAATTATATCTTTTAAATTATAAAATACATCCAAATTAAAAATTGTTAAATTTTTTTTATTTATTCATATTATTATTTAATATAAGTTTGATTTTTTAATCAAAAATCTATAATTTACAATATGCTTATAACATTACAAAATACATACCGTACATAAAGAAAATGAATAAAGAAATAAACATTTTTTTATAATTATTGTATAATCTTTTTTACTATATTAAACACTTTATGCAATTAATTAGATATCTTTTGAATTTATATTTTTTTTTTGTTATTAATTTTAAAGTATTTGTTTCTTTTACAATTTTTTACGGAGAAATCACTATGACAATAATTCTTACATTAAAAGTGCTGAAGTAAAATGTTAAAAATCTTTATATTTAATTCATGTGTATGGTTAACCAAATATGTCCGAGAATATATAATATAGTTTTTTTTTTTTTATAAATGGAAACAATTTCTTAATACAATAAATAATTATAATGCTACAATTACAGTATTACTTTTATCAAATTTTTTAAGCCTTTAGCCTTTATTTATAACATAATTTTTTGAGATGCTGACAAAAAAATTTTTTTCATAATCCCAGGAATAATCATTGTAGAACAATAGTCTATTGTTGAACACTCAAGAACATAAGAAACAAATACAAAATAATACCGATAATTTGATTAAAGAATTGAACATGGTTGATACAGTATTTCATTAAATATTACACAAAAAAAAAACTATAAGTATAAAATTGACAAGGTTTAATCACCAAGTGGTTCAAAGAATAAGTTGGGATTAAACATTTTTGTAAACCGAAGAGATTTCTGTAATATTTAATGCAAATGGAATTATAATTCAGTCATAACACGACTACAGTATAAAATTGGTTTTAACATTACCTAAAAAATTATAATCTAAGTCGATTAGACTTGAGTCTATTAAAGTAAATAGGATATTGATGTCAAAATTTGTTAAATAAAACTCTGGAAATCAATAAATCTACAGTATATTCACCTGCATAGTCATCTGACAATAATTCAAGCACTTTCTCGTAATTAGGGGCATTAGTTGGTTGCGATAAATTAGAAGAATTCAAAAGTCTGCTAGTGTAAATGGCATTTGGGTGCGTTTTATAATTAAGTCCCGAGAATTTACTAGCTAATGATTCTTTCGAAACCTCACTTTCGTAATCTTTAACTTGTTCCTTAAAATCCGAAGGTTCACCACTCTCGATCGATTTAATCCAATTATCTATGAGTTTCCATATTTCTTCAGCATCAGGTCGACAAGAAGGCCTCGCATCCCAACATTGCATTATTAATCTAACTAAAAATTTCGGAGTCTTGAATGGAATTTTTGGACGAAAGCCTTGACAGATTTCTAAGGCAAGATCTTGATCATGAGGAATATTATAGTATGGAGGAAATCCTGTGATAATTTCATATGCTACGATTCCAAATGA